TTTAAAGCTGTTCAAATAGAAAAAGTTCGAAATACGACTGAACAACAGGTTTTTCACTAGTATCTTGTTGCCTTTGAACCCCTTGTACACTTCCTTTTATACTAGTGAAAAACCTGTTTTTCAGCCGTATTTCGAACTTTTTCTATTTGAACAGCTTTAAAAGTATTCTTAAATTACATCAGTCGATTTAGCTTGAAATTCGGTGTCGATTGGTGTGCTTTCGTGAATATTTCCGTGGTGCCAGAAGAAAAAAACAAATTTATACTCGATTTTGAAGGATTTTGAAAAAAGTCAATAATTTTGAGTGTTTGCTTGAACTGAAACTTTCTGTGCACTCCGATCTTCATATTTGTGATCAGCACGGTTGATTACATATTCCCATGTGGAATTCAAGTTGATCAAAAAGAACAAAATTTCCAAAACCCTTGAGGGGGTCAAAAAACCAATGAAAGCTTTTGCGAAACTAAATGTCAGAAAATGTTCCTAGGCATGCCGTGACATGATTCCAATAGAAAAATCTCAACAATATTGACAGACAGAAACTACCCTTATCCGCCCTCCTCCTTTGTGAAGTTAACAAACATATATATTGTTTAATCTAGCACTACCTAATTTGCAATTCAAATTTTATAATGATTATTGCAGACAAAAGAAGGTGTTGCTGTGGGTAGCCCTCTTGGTCCCATTTTGGCAGATACTTGTATGAAGAATTTAGAAAGAAAACAGATAGAACCATTGGCATCATCAAAATTATAACATGGGTTCGATATGTAGATGATGTGTTTGTAATAATGAAAGGAAATAAACTAGACGCTTTAGAAATATTAGATGCAATAAACAAAATACATAAAAATATAAAATTCACGATTGAATTAGAATCTAATAAAACATTATCATTTCTTGACGTGTTAGTAAGAAAAAATGACAAAAAATATGATACAACAATATTTAGAAAGCACACAAACACAAATTTATACTTAGCATGGGATGCATGTTTACCACGGTATCAAAAAATAAGATTAATCAATTCGTTAGTGGTAAGAGCATTACGTATTTGTTCAAATAATGTTTCATTAAATGATGAATTAAAATTCTTCAGAGATGTATTAAATTCTAATGGGTATCCAGTAAAATTAATGGAACGAACAATCAAACATACGATACGTAACGAAAAGCAAAAAGAACAACAAAGTAATATGAATAAAAATCAACAAAGAAATAATGACAGAAATGATAAGGAAATGCCAATTAACATTGTTTTCAGTTATCTAGGTAAGAAATCATATTCATTTGGAAAAAATTTAAGAAATTAATGACAAATATCAAAACTGAATGTCGAATTATTTTTAAAAAAAGCAAACAATCGGACACCGTTTTACAAAACAACTGAAAGGAATTAACAAACAGAAAGTTGATGTGGTATACTGTATCGATTGTCACAAACTATACATTGGACAAACAGGAAATAATGTAGCTGTTAGAATGGAACAAGATAAGGAGAACTGGAAAAAAATTGATGTCAGTTTAAAGGCGATAGAGCATATGAGAACTCCAAATCATTCATTGAATTTTAATGAACCTTCAATATTATTATTTAAATAAATGGAAAAAAACGTGAAATTAAAGAGACATTACTAACGAAGAAATTTCAACATTGGGCTTTCAGTGAGATCTCATTGAAAACAGTAATATGATGATGGTGAAGGGACAGTATTGTATTGGTTAAAAAAGAAGCAGTAGAATGAAAGGTGACTCATAATTTATGAATGAGTCCTTGCGGTTGATGTAAGTAATAACGAAATTTAAATAAAAAATTGCCTGCTGATGCTCTCGGAGAGAGCGAAAGCTCGCAAAAGAAAGAATTTCTTATATGTAATCATCTATATATTGGAGTTTATAGAAAACACTATATTATTAAAAACTGATAAAAAGATACTCTCAAAAAGGTTAAAATTGGCAAATGGATTCAAGTAAACTTTCTAGAAAGCGTTGTCTGCATTCTTTGACTTAATTTCTAATGTACAGTGTATCAATTTAAACCAAGGACGAGAATGACCACTAAGTTCTTTTTTCTTCTTCGTTTAGTTCAACACCCCAGTGATACAATGAAAGGATCTGTCACGTGTAAGTTAGTGATGCCCTCTGAGAATGAACGACGTTATATTAATCTGTTGATCTAACAGGGAAGAATTCTGGTAACTCTGGAGGCAAGAGAGATCGACGCCAATCTCACCATTTTCAAATAGTTAGCCCTGCAGTCATTGAGGTAAGAAGCTCATTACGAAAGATCGTAAACTTCGCCACTGGAAACTTCGCAATATGGAATTGCATGATTTTTCTGGTGCAACGTCAGCAATATTAGTTTCACATCCCGTAGTAATGTTAAGCTTGAAAGTTGAATTCCGTGATTGAACTATTCCTTCGACCATCCACCTATTCGCTGAACGTGTATTTCTATGTCCGATAAGATATTCAGTGACCTCAATTGCACTATATAGTCCCTTAAACATAGTTCAATAGTTAAACTGAATATTTTCAAAAAGTTTTTAATTTGACTTTCGTTTAACCCTACTGATTTTCTGAAAAGTGGAGCGAATTGAGTCACGTCGAAATAAACTTGTATCTGTCAATTCATTTTGAGCTCTCTTTAACAGTGTTGAAGGAAAAGTGTCACAAGATAAGAACTCATACCATCATGCATTATACGTACTAAAATTTTGTATGCCATATAGACAGTAGCCGGCAGCAAGATAGTTCAACCAGTCCAATACGACAACATAGATCAGGACGTTGATACCTGCGCCGTTCCATGCGATGAATGTACCAAGCCACGTTCTCAAAGCGATCATTATAGGTGTTTAGAATGTCCAGATTATGATGTGTGCGACGTGTGCTTTGAGAAAAGACGCGAGGCGGAACAACACAAAAATGGTCATGCTTTTGCACACTTTAGAATGCCGAATGAGTTGTTCAGCGAGCCAATCAAAGATGTTCATCGTGAAGTGACCTTAACCAAGTTAATAAAACGTTTCGAACATGTGAAACATCAAAATACCTCGTGCGATGGTTGTGCGGCAGAATACATCGTCGGTATTCGGTTCAAATGTGATACTTGTCCACAATACGATTTGTGTTTGAATTGTATGAAAAATAAAGTAGAAACGGATCGTCATAAAGCCAATCATCCACTCGTAGTAATTGGGGATAATCATTTGAAACAGATTGAATGGCAAGATATTGAAATAGGCGAAATACTGGGCCAAGGTGGTTTCGGTAAGTTTTATGCGGCCCTCTGGACGTGAAGAAGGTGATAGGAGCCTTAGATAATGTTTTGAGATTCGTAAAAAATCAGGGATTTGTCTAGTCAATATCAGACTCTCTACATCCTTGTGTATGTGGTAAAATTTCGGAAACACATATATATATATATATATATATAAGGAAGACTGATTTTCATTAACTCACACTTTCAATTATTATCGATATATTTGAATGATTTATACGAACACTCTAGAACTAAAGATTTTACAGAAAAAGATCTTGTATCAATCCTTATAGAGATTCGTAACAAAAATGATTTCGTATAAAAAACTATGAGATAATATCAGTAAGGGTGCAACTCTTGAAACAACTTACAAAAATGATCCTCTGTATTCTGAACGAATACACAGTTCTAAAAATTGTTACCTTCGAATCAAAACACAATTGCTATTTTTGATTGCACCTATGATTCTAAATCCCGATACTTTTTGGACCCGATGATCATTTACTGCTCAGTATAGCCTGTATAAAAGCTTATGATGAACGTTGTTTGATTTATCTACAAAAATAATGATTCATATGATAAGAGTTAATTGAATACGCTGAATAACACCCCTAGAGAATGTACTTGGACGAAGTACTTCGTCTGCGTAATGAAGCCGGTACTTGCCTTTTTTCCAGAAGTAAAATTTACTTGTAAGTACTTGTCCTTAATTGCCAAGTACTTTCAGAAAGTACTTCTTAGCAGTAAGGCAGGTATTTTGATCATTGACAAGTACTTAGCAAGTAACCAAGTACTTGCATCAAGTACGTTCTCTAAAGACTAAATGAGAGGTAAGAGAACAAAACTCATACCTTTCGTAATCCCAGTGCCAGGGGAAGACACTATCGTTTTATTGGTCTTATAGGGATCTGTCACGGATTGAGGTTGAAAATTCGTTAATCAATTTTCACACGGACTAAATCGGTTTCATTTCATTTTTGCGATATTGTTTTATGCTAAAACCTATCTTTCGACAAAACTACTATCTGTATCAAAATAAAATGGACTCCGATATTTCGCTTATAACTTTTTAACGGTGAATGCGACAGACTTGCGGTTTC